TTTTTTTTTTTAAATAAGAGACAGGGTCTTGCTCTGTCACCCAGGCTGGAGTGCAGTGGCCCGATCATAGCTCACTGCAGCCTTGAACTCCTGGGCTCAAGTGATCCTCCTGCCTCAGCCTCCCAAGGAGCTAGAAGCACAAGTGTGCACCCCCACGCTTGGCTAATTTTTAAAATTTTTTGTAGAGATAGGGTCTCACTGTCTCCCAAGCTGGTCTCGAATTCCTGGCCTCAAGCAGTCCTGCCTCAGTCTCCCAAAGTGCTGGGGGTACAGGCATGAGCCACTGTGCCTGGTCATACTGTCTCTATTTTAGCAGTAACATCAGTCAAGTAGTAAATCTGCAGAAAATCAGTTTCTTGAGGTTCTCATTTTTACTAATGGGTCTTATAAGGTACACAGCAAGGTGTGGTAGTTAGTGATATGCCTGGATGAAGGAGTTACAAGTTTTTATTTGTTGCTTATTTGTATAATCTAATTTATTTTAACAATAAACTTGTATTGCTTCTTTATTAAACTAAATTTCTTCAAATTTCTAAATTAGATGAGGATTGGCATGGTGTATATGTCCATCTTTTGTGACTCAAAGATGTAGCTTCTGAACTTTTCTAATTCTGAGTCAAAGCTGTACCTACTATAATGTACCTTGAGTTTTCAGCGACAGTATTGGTTATTGTACTCTCTGGGGCTTAAGATTCATTGAAAAACAAAATGTAAACTCCAAATGTTGACTAAGTAGTGAAACTTGGAGTGCATTTTGTAGTATAGCAGAGTTTTAATGTTTATCACACAAATAACGAAATGTGTGTCTATGACTCTTTTCCACTTAGGATATTGAGTCTTTGATGTCCGAGGGTAACAAATCTCGCACGGTTGCTGCCACCAACATGAATGAGGAGAGTAGCCGATCCCATGCGGTTTTCAAAATCACTCTCACACATACTCTCTATGATGTGAAGTCTGGGGTAGGTGTTCAGATGCATGACCTCTTTTTAAATTTCTAAAGTGGACTGTGGTTTATCTTTTTCCCTTCAGGTGTTAGATGATTTAAAGTCCTAGTTGTCTGAGTGTAGTGAATTGGTTGGGGGGGACGGAAATCCTGGCTAGACCTAGTCAATTAGGACTCTGGACAAGAAACAGAAGCTACTTTAGTAAACAGAAAGGGATGTACTAGAGGGAGTTTGATGATAAGAGTTGTTGGGACGCCTGAGCAGGAGGGAGTTCTAGACTGAATCTCCAGGAATAACTCCCAGAGCAACAGAGATCTGGCCCACCAGGGCTGGAGCCACCTCTGAGGACACCACTGGAACTGTGAGTTCAAGGCACACCCCATCTCTGTGATCCAGGAAACGGGAATAAAGAAGTTGCTTTTGTCGATGCAGCTGCCTCTTAGCACCCCGGAAGCTAGAGAATGGTGCCGGAACACTCCCCTGGAAAACCTAGTATTTCCACGATCCTCCTTACCAGCTGGAAAAACAGAAAGGGGGAAGGGGTCCTGCTTTCCAGTCTTTAGCAAGTGAACCTGCCCGACGGAACCAAAGTCACAGGCTGAACCCTGGCTGCCGAAAAATCTGAGAAATGTCGGCTGTAGCTCACCACCCTGTCTCACGAGAGGAAGGGGGAGCAGAAGCCGAGCGCTGCCGCCCCCGTCTCTGCTCAGCCGTGTCTGCGCTGTGCCTGTCGTGGCGGACTGCGAGCGAGTGTTAGCACTGCCGCTGAAGAGCGGAGGTCCTTTTGCGGTGTCACCTTCTGCTAAACACTGATTATTAGAAGCAATAAATTACACTGGGTGATTGTACTATAAAATCACTGGATTTTGTAGAATAATTTTTTGAGTGTTTAGTTTTGAATCTAGCAAAGAGTAAACCGAGTCAGAGATGTATATGCTTCTGCCACATCGCAAATTTCGCTGTTGACCCATACATTTGTGTCCTCCCCGTTCTGAGGTCAGGTTTTACATGTTTTGCTGTGATGCCTCCCCCCAGCGCATCGATTTCAAACACCAGAAGCTAAAGTAATCGCCCTGGCAAGAGTGCTATATTTTGGCAGGATTTTCATTTGCTGAAAGCATATTTTTCTTCTTTTACCATCACAGCAAGATTAGTGTAACAACAAAAGTTCTTTGTTTGCTATTTCCTTTTCAGCATAAAACAAAAAACATACTGAAGACTTTTTTAAACCAAAAGTACTTTTGATTTGGGAAGCTGAATATCCTTCTTAGCATGTTTATTTATGGAAATATAAGTATGTATTTTAAAGGAAAGTTTTAACAATGATCCTCTCTATAGATTTTGGCATTTTTTTCCTGTATTTTTTTTTGTATTACTGCTGAAGTATAAAATATCTGCTACATGATTTGATAATAGAGCGTTTTTGATAAAGGAAAATATCAGTATATATGTGTGGGTATATATATTTATAATATCCTAACTAGAAAAAGATATAAATGTAATACCTAAAATTATGAAAGAAAAGGAAATTATTATATATAAGATAAAAAACTTTAGAAAGTGTTTTGAGTTTTTGAGAGTCTTCTGTTATATGAAACTCAGATTAATTTTTTTTTTTAAATCAGAGTAAGAGTTGTAGGTGTTTTTCCTCAGGATTATTGGTAAATATTCATGAAATTTTAAGCATAGTTTCCAATCATAGTGAAATTTGTATCTTGTAAGTACTTTTATATACTTCCCTGAAATTTTTATTGGGCATCCTTCCAAACATCCCATTTCGGAGGCACTGTTTTACTGGGGTGATTAACTTTGATTCTTTCTGGATTAGTAGAGTTTTATAAATGTCGCGTGTATCCATTACTAAATGGTATAGTTTTCCTACAGTGTGTTACAGCAACAGAAAATAATTTTGAAATCACAGTATATAACGTTACTAAAGGATTTAGATCATAAACGCATTTGGTTGGGATAGTACCACTTTCTGCATTCTTTAACTGTTTATTAGTGTTTTTCAATTCACTTTGTAGACATCTGGGGAGAAAGTGGGCAAACTGAGCTTGGTCGATTTAGCCGGCAGTGAACGAGCGACAAAAACTGGAGCTGCCGGCGACAGGCTGAAGGAAGGCAGCAACATCAACAAGTAGGTTTCCCAGAAGCTTATATTTATAGCCTCATTGGTTTAATAGCCAAATAGGGGAAGATCTGTGGTTATTAAAATAATAAGATGATTGTGGAATGATTAAGGCTATAATGAATGAATAATTTGTATTTTTTCTCTGGTATCTTCAATAGGCTCGAGCCCATTTTATGTCTTGGTGTCTGATGGGGCTGAGGAGCACAGCCTCAGTCAGGTCAGGGTTTCTCAGCAATGGGCCTGTTGACTTTCAGGGTCTGGTAATTCTCTTCATGGCAGGGTGGTCCTGGGCTTTGCAGGAAGTTTAGCAGCATCCCTGGCTTCTGCCTCTAGGTGGCGGTAGTTCCTGCCACCTTTCCCCCACCCCCAGTTGCAAGAGCCTGACTCTGGACATTGCATGCTGTTCCCTTGGAGACACGGTCACCCTCCATTTGGGAACTAGTGGTGCAGGCTGTAGAAGAGAGCAGAGATGATTGGCCTCTCGGGGTCTAGCAGTTGGTCTTCACCGTGGGTTGCTGTCTGGACAAACGACGCGTGTAGTCGCGTTGCTTTCCCTTTTATGACTGCTGTTGTGCATGTCCAAGTCCCAGAAGCTAGCACTTTATAAAGTCATATTTTGTGTTCCAGTCCCTTCATACAGTTACATTTTCTCCCTCAAGCTAAATTGTTACCTCCTTGTGGGTAGGAATCTCTTCTGTCCTTGGGCCTTCTAGAAGGACGTGTAGGAGTCGTCGGTAACTACCTGGAGATTGTAGAACCTTCACCCAGATGCTTTGCTGTTATCGAACCATATGTATATATCATTTTTGCCTTGTACTGTGTTTTAATTGTTGTATTGTGTGTGTGGCTTCCTTTCTTAAGAATATATGGCATTTGTGTTTTCGTCTTGACCTGAAGATTTACAGCTCACATTTTTATCTACCAGAAGAAAAGTGGGCTAAGCGTTTTTATTGCCTATGGTGGCACTAGAGGGACACAACCCTAAACAGCTACTGAAGGTTGTGTGCTTGCGAACCGGGCGGCAAAATGCCGACGGCGGTGCTGCTTACACGCGGGTACAGAGGCATCTTGGTGTTCGATCTTTGTGCTAATGTGTGACATTTGATAAATTCCATTTTTCGTAATTGTCACGGTTTGTTGCACCATGCAGGTCCCTCACAACCCTCGGCCTGGTTATCTCAGCCCTGGCAGATCAGAGCGCTGGCAAAAACAAGAATAAGTTTGTTCCCTATCGCGACTCCGTTCTCACTTGGCTGCTCAAAGTAAGTTTCGCTTTGTGCTTTTCCCTCCCTGGCATGCTTTCGGTGGATGGTGGGAGGAAGAATAAGGGGTAGACTGTTACTCGCTTCCAGTTCCCGTTTTCCATCAGTGCTCAAATTGATCGTCATCAGGCTCTTATGATAAGCACAGTCTGAGGGGTTGAGCGTAAGTTGCTTCCTAGCAGTTAACATCCCCGCCAGCAGGGCCAGGCTGCAGTGGGGGTGTTGGGCACACGCTGACTCCCGTGGTTGCTTCGGGAGACTTTGGGAGTAGAAAAAGGAGCTGGTGCTCGCTCTGACGGCTGAGTGGGCTTAGAGAAGGAGTTTCCGCTGCCGGGCACACCCAGCTGGACGGCTCGTCCTTCTCGCAGACTCCTTTTGTTTGGCTGACATTTTAGACCTTGTTTTCTGCTTAACGTCAAGACATTTTGGAGTTGTTCTCCGTTTAACTTTACTCATGATAATTTTAATTTGTTTTCAGCTTCTTAAAGGTGTTGTTAGAGGACACAGAGTAGAGCACGGTCACTGAATGATTAGTTGATTCACTGCGAATGAGAGAGGTGGGAACGAGAGAGGAAAAAGCCTGCAGGAGGTGCTAGGAGGGGAACGTGAGGAAACAGAAGCCACTGAGGCCCTCTCGGGCTCAGCGTCCAGCAGGGACGTAGGATGTGCACGCAGTATCAGCACATGAGTGCGTGATGGCGTCCGTGACAGAGCGTGATTACTTGTAATAGGAGTTTGGTGAAAACGGACTATTTACAGGTTTCCATTAGTCCTGCTCAGGTAGTGTAAACTGGGTATTGGGCTGAGAATTAGAGGATATAAGTTATAGTGACAGTTTCACTCCTGATAGAGGTGTCAACCTTGAATAGAACATTTTACCTAATACTCTTTTTCTTCTATTTTTCAAAATGGAGAAATAATATTATGTGCCCTGTTTCATTTTGTGATCCCTTATTTTCTTGTTGATCAAGAATTTATTGAAAACGTGTTACTACGTTATAGGTTGAGAATATAAAGGTGAGTTAAATGCGGGCCCCCAATAGCTTTGCAGAGGACACAGTTATTAACTTTGTCCCTGACATGTTTTGATAATAGCCTTTGTAAGGGAAGTAGGGGTTTCTCCTGGTTCCTGTATCCTCTCAAAGAGTTACTGGTAGTCAGCTTTTTAATGCAAATCTTTTCACAGCATTAGAACGTCCTGCATCAAGTGAAAGCATTCTTCACATAAATGTCAGGAAGTTCTGCTTAAATGGAATGCTAAAATTGAATAAATTTGCCACAGTTAGAAAATCAGGTAGATTACTTCCTTTGTCCAAGATGCAATAAAATTAGAAATTTAAAACAAAAGGAAAACCAAATTTTCGTAATTAGAAACCAGTTGTAAAGGGGTATTACAAAACATTTTACTACCAAGGAATGTGTTAGTAGTGAACTTTGAGATCTCACTTCTTGCTTTGTTCCAGAAGAAATCTTGATAAGTTACTTATTTCTTCCTCAGACATTCCACAGAAACATTTCCTGGTCATATATTGTCCTTATTTCGTCGTTGTTACTTCAGTCCATTTACAACAACAATAAGAAACATCTTTGTTCTTAATAATGTAATCGGCATAGTGAAAATGGCCTAGGTACTGATTGAGTGGCCTCCGGGCTGGAAGCCAGCAGGACCTGTTTCAGGTGAATCAGGTTCCTGCCAAGGGCTTCACCTGCATCAACTCATATACTTCTCAGAAGGTAGTGAATTCGGTACCAGCCTGGGCAACACAGTAAGATCCCATCTCTACGAAAAATAAAAAAGATTAGCCAGGTGTGGTGGTGCACACCTGTAGTCCCAGCTACTCAGGAGGCTGAGGCAGGAGGATCGCTTGAGCCCAGGAGTTCAAGGCTGCAGTGGGCTGTGATCACACCACTGCACTCCAGCCTGGGTGACAGAGCGAGACCCTGTCTCTTTTTTAAAAAAAAAAAAAGAAAGGTAAACGTGGCATCCGGGTTGTCAGATGAAGCAATGTTGCAGGACTAATGAATGGCAGACTCAAGATTGGCATCCAGGGCTGACTTTTCTGCCCCCCTGTTTTTGCCAGTGCTTTGCTCTTCTTATCAAAGGTTACTTTCCATTAGAAAGAGTCTCACTGGATGTTTACCAGTCTGTGATAGAAAATAAGGAAAACAACTGTTCCTAGTTCTTGAGGACTGAAACCAAATACGGCTTCTAAAAAGCTCACTTTATTTTCTGTTTAGTTAATTTAGGTTATAATTGCAACTTCCCTGTGTTAATCCTTAGGTTAAAAAATATATCAGGTGTTTGCTGGGTATTTGTCATTTTTTTCTCAAAAACTTGTATGACCCTTTTTATATCATCTTTGGCTTTTGCAGCAAGACCATAAACGGGCATTTTTTGCGAAACATATTCCAGAGCTTACACAGTTTTTCCAGAGGCCTCTGCAAATCCACTGAAATGCAGCCCATTCTCCTTTGAAGTGGCTTTTGGTTCCTGTTGCCTTTTCCTCCTTTAATTCTTCTTCGTCTGACTCTCCCTGTTCCGTGTTTGATGTGGGTACAATTCTCGTGTTCCCCACCGTAATTTCTGTTGAGCTCATAAATGGACTCATCTTTAGTAACACTTGCAATTTCTTTTTACAAGTTTTTCTTTTATTATTATTTGCACTATAATCGTGTTGTGCTCTTGATGTTTGCAGCATCGGAGATTGAGAGAAACTTTGGCTGTTCTTGGTGGTTGGTTGGGGATGGAAGTGGGCGCTCTTCTCCCAGGGAGGAGACAACAGCCATCACAGAAGGGAGGTTCAGTCGGTCAGTGGAGAACAATTTCGTATTAGGATAATGTTCACTTCCCTGTAGAACCTTCTAAAGGTGGGCCTCTTAACATCTAGTAACTTCTTTCTGGTAACAAATGCTCAGGTAATGAATACCTCTCAAATTCCTCCGCTCTCGTCATTCTTACTGCCACCTCCCCAATGAAGGCCACTTTCTCTCTTGCCTGGATGACAGACGTTTCCCTTGAGCTTTCTTAGTCAGTTCATTCTCCACGGTTAGATTGCGACATCTTTCTAAATTAATACTCTCTCACCCTTAAGTCTCTTCAGTGACTGTCCACGGGCCCTTCGGATAAAGTCTAAATTCTTTAACTATGTGTTATAAATCCTAGCTAAGTGATGGGTGCTGTCGTACTTCTGGGACTTCACTTCTACTCTATTTGGAACATTCTTCCCCCCCTCCCCTCTCCTCAATCCCTCCTTCTTCCGTCTCTCCTTCCCTTACCTGTGTAATGCTTATTTATCTTTAGGTCTCAAATGTCACTTTCTCTGGGCGTCTCCCTAACCTTTCAGGAATCAGCTCTCGGCTCTATCTTCGCTTTCCCAGACCGTACTGTATTTATCCCTCCTTTAGTTCTCATCATAGAGCATTTGCTCTCCGGCACCTCCCTCTAGGCGGTCAGCTCCGTGAAGAGTTGAAGGAAGGAATAATTTCGGCTCTGCTCTGAACTAGGACTCTGTCTGACCTTTGATGCGGCAGCCTTCCTGGGTCTCAGTTTCTCATCTGTAGAATGACATAATTTGATTACATGACTTTGAAGAGTCCTTTCAGCCTTTCAGAATTCTGACTTCCAAAATTAAATTTCTTTCCGACGTCCGTCCATTTAATTTGCAGTTGCTACGTTTGAAACAAAGCTCGTCTGATTTGCCTAATTAAACAATTAAAGAGTAAACAAGAAACTTTATACTTTCTCCTTGAATGAGTGCCAGTTCTTTTGTTGCCATTTCCTTTTTTCCGATGGCATGGGGCCATTTTTTAACATAAGTTTATTGTTGCTCCATGAATAAGGGCTTTTAAAATATCAAGCACTTGTTGTTTGCCAGGTTTCCTTTTCTCAGCATAAATTGAAGCACAATATACATGCTTTTCTCCTCTGGTACTTATTGTTCTAGATCCCCTTTCACCCAATAGCACTTGCCGCTCCCGTGGGCTGGCAGTGTGCAGTCGCTCTCGAAGGGCAGCCTGGTGCTGCTAATGAACTGAATTGCAGTGTGAGATTTAATTCCTGCCGTCTTTCTATATCACATTTAAATTTCATCAGTGTGCATGGGACTCTTCATGACATTTTTCTGGAAGTTGCCAAATCCGAGACACCAGCTATATGAGATGAGTGTCCAGAAGTGAAGAGGGAAGCAAGCAGTCAGGGCTTTTGCCTCCTAAAGTCCAAATTAGTTCTATTTCCTGCCTTGTCATGCATTAAAGTGTATTTTCTTCAGTAATATTGAAGAATTTATCTCTGTATTCTGTGGAAAACCAGACTTTGAGAAATGGCTGGATGAGCAGACGTGTTGTCTGTGATTTTATGGAACTGTTAGCCATGCCTGGGGAGTTATTTTGTTCCTGATGCCAGGACAAAATAATCTGGGCAGATGTCAGGTCCCCTTACTCAGTCCTCAGGTCTGAACTGTGTCTGTGTTACCGAGTATGCACGTGGACAGCTGTGGAGGAGTGGACTTGAAGGCAGAAAGAACATCGTTCCGCTTCCTAGTTCCGGAGTCCGGGCAGCGTGCAGTATTTCGCCTCCTTGGACAGAACAAACCTGCTTTCTCATCAGTAAAATGGGGCTACTCATAAATGAGTTTCCAAACAGCTGAGAACTAAATAAAGTGTATGCACAAAGACTGTGTAAATCACAGATTGCTCTAACACATTTTATAATAGATATATTAAGATTGGAAAACTATTCAAAAGTAAGAATTTTCTATAGGTTAATGCCCAAAAGTAGAGTTAGCTTTCTTGTGCCCTAATTCACTGTTACTTCCCTATTATTCTCTCTAATCTTGAAAATCTATCATTCAGTGATATTCTATTACTGGAAGAGGGTGTTCAATCTGTTTGGGTTTTTTTTTTTTTTGATAATTCTCAGCCTGGAATGGTATCTTAGCGTATGAGTAGTTACCGATTGCATGTAACGGATTATCCCCAGACCGTAACGGCTGGAAACAACAATCGATCATTGTCTCACCGTTTTTATAGGTCGGGATTCCGGGTGCAGCTTATCTAAGTGGTTCTGGCCGGGTCTCTCCGGGGGCTGCAGTTGGAGGGTCAGGTGGGGCTGCTCTCACGGCAAGGCTCGTCAGGGCTGGCCTGCTCACTTGCATGGTTGTTGGTGGCTCTAGATCTGCTTCCAAACCCACTCCTGTGACTCTCTTTCCAGGGCCGCCTCATCTCGTGGCAGCTAGTTTCCCCCAGAGCGAGAGAAAACACCCAAGACGGAAACCACTGTCTTCTTTAAATCTAACTGCAGAAGCGCCATGCCATCACTTCCCCTGTTTTCTGTTCGTTAGAGGCCGAGTAGTAAGTCCTGGCCACACTCGAGGCAAGGAGCTGGTTCTAGGGTCCGAGCGCCAGGAGACAGGATGGCTGGGCGTCTCAGAGGCTGCCTGCAGGGATGGACCACGCCGAGCCTCCTTTGTGTGGGCCGCCGAGTGGGTAGCTTGATGTCCCAAGTCTAGATTTATAATTCTGAGTTGTTATTTTTAATGTTCTCAAATGAAGGCAGTTTTTTCCATTGTTGGAAGCTAGTTCTAGAGCTGTTTCACTGCACTTACCGATTTGAGCATAACGTAGAAGATGTGTATCTCTTCTCGGGCGCCTGGTCTGAACTGTGGGAGCAGTTGTGTAGAACATGCAACCTGTTTTAGTAGTTTTCGAAGTGCTAGCCGAGGGAAGAAAATGGAGTTCCTTCACATTTTTTGTCTTGTAAGACTATGATTGTACGTTATGTTTCGAAAGCTTTACTAGGTGCCTGATAGCTTGTAACAGCGGCTTCTGAGCTGTGATTTGGGCTTCACAGAGACTCCCAAGCACACGGTGTCGCGGAGGAGGTTTTCGTAATCACTCCTTGGTCAGGCGTCGCGTAATACCATCCCCGTTCCCCCAGGGAAGGTTTTGGGCATTTAAGGAATCATTTTTACTCTGAGTAGTCTGCTCTCGTATGGTATCATTGCCTGTTAAATAGGAAAAATTGACTTAGAATTAATTTTTATTAAACTGAAATAAATGTAGGCTTCATTGCATTTCCCTGTCCTTTCTCAAAAACCAAAGCTCCCCTCTTTTTTTTATTTTTAGAAAAGTAGCTTGGCAGAGAAGAAACAGCTCAGGACTGGAGTCAGCACACCTGCGTTTTAGCTTTATCGCTAAATGTGTGTTTGACCTGGGGAAGTTAATTCACCTTTTCTGACTTCCACTTCCCCATAGGAAGGCTTCTTCCAATTTTAAAGTGCTTCCCCGATTTCCTTTCTCCTGTAGGACAGTCTTGGGGGCAACAGCAAGACAGCTATGGTGGCTACGGTGAGCCCGGCGGCTGATAACTATGACGAAACCCTCTCAACCCTGCGGTACGCGGATCGAGCCAAGCACATCGTTAACCATGCCGTGGTGAACGAGGATCCGAACGCGCGGATTATCCGGGATCTCCGTGAAGAAGTTGAGAAACTGCGGGAGCAGCTGACCAAAGCAGAGGTATGATGCGCAGCTGAGCGGTGACTTGGCCATTTGGGAAGAGCTGGTCAAGCCAAACCTTGAATTTTCCTTCCCTTGGCTGTAAGGGATGAGTACTCTACTCAGGATATGTGAATTTCCTATAGGAAGAGAAATTTGAGATGAGTGATCGATACAGAAGGCTGTCATACCTGAAATTCAGAGATTTTTTATAGGTGTTCAGAGGATTGACTAGGAGAGAATAGGGGGAATCGAGAACACGTTTCTTTGCATTTTTGTTCATTTCCATTCAGGTAGGATATGAGAGAAGACGTATAATAGAATAAGGGACAGAAAGGGAGAGACACTGGGAATGAGGTGGATATAAACTAATTTAACTGCAGAAAATGGTGGAGAGTAGGGTTTTTGTTGTATCTCTCATTTATTACCTGGCAGAAGTTGGAATGAGAGTCTTGAGGTCTTCCATGCCTTAATAATCCAGCTTTTCTATGTTGTGGTTAATTATGTTCATAGAGAAAAATATTTCAATCAGAGTACCCATAAATGGGTACTCTTTTGCCTGTCTTCTGTGTATTCTATAATGGATGGTGTGTATGTTTCGCTATGGAATTAGAAAACCTGCACAATTCTAACCTACAGCCAGGTGCTCATCTCTTGTAAAAGTGGATGAAATACCAGATCCAGGATTCCTGCTTTAGTTAGGGTTTCTTTTCCCGCAGTCACCCAGCACTTTGGGGCTTTTCCCTGGGGCTGGCTTTCTTTCTCATACTGGTTTTCTGATAGTAAATCAGTAAAATACATGGTCCATACAGTTATCTTGATCGTATTTTTGCCTGTTGCGTTTTATCCTGATTTTACAGTAATAATGTTCATCAAGGTTCTTTGAGTTTTGTTTCTGTCTCCCTGGTTTCAGTAACTCCATCTGATTTGCAACACGTACACATTTAGTCTACACATACGTATAAATTCCTGAAGTCATCAATAAAGACTAGGATGAATCATGTGTATGAGTTTGTCTAGATATATAACTTATTGGGATTTAAAAATAAACCCTTAGTTGCTTCATGTTTGTATATCCCCACATTAGATCTTCACAGTAGGCTGAAGGAAAAGGAATAAGTTTGAAAAGTCTCCTCTCAAATATACCTTGTGTAACTTCATGAGTTTGTGGTTCTGAGCAACAGTCTGGGTGCTGGGATCCGTGTTGGGCCATCATTGTGTTCTAGGTGGATCTGAGACCTCAGCATGTCTTCCGGCTGAGAGGAGGCAGATTGTTACTTTTGTCCTTTTAGAGGTGGCTAATTCTTTTTTCAGGGCATCGTCCAGACATTTCACGAAGTAAACATTTTGCTTATAGGCAATGAAATCTCCAGAGCTAAAGGACCGGCTGGAAGAATCTGAAAAGCTAATTCAGGAAATGACGGTGACCTGGGAGGAGAAATTAAGAAAGACGGAGGAGATCGCACAGGTTCGTGTTTTCTGGCTGATTACGAGCACGAAAGCTCATGGCAATTTGGGGATGAAGGTGGTGTTTCTGGTTCCTTTTTGATTTTTAGCTTTGCTGATGGCAAATCTAGCCCCGTTAACAGGAATCTAAATCCAAGAGGACCTATACTTTGCAAAATTGATTTGAAGGATAAACAGGGTATAATTGCAATTGGTTGTTTATTATGTAAAAAACAATTTTTTAGTGTCAGTAATCTTTAAAAAATTTTTTAAAGAAAGTAACTACTTTTTTAACTTTTGCCTCCGAGCACCCCGTTCTATTAAGTGCTTTGCAGACCTAAGGAACTTACGGAAATTACAAAATTACTAGTGGTAGATATTAGGCTATGAGCTTCTTGCATCCATGTGACAACTCAGTGAAAGTAATTTGAAATACCTAAATCCGAAGTGACTCTCATTGTTTTCTAATAATAATGGTAGAGTTGTGACATCTTAGGGTGGGAACATGAGCATTAGTCTAGGATGATCTAGTCCAAGTTAGCCTTGGGAGAAAATGCTTAAAAGGTCTGTCTACTTAAAAAAAGATTTACTCTGTGGCTTTTCTGTCACATAGTTATCCAGCCTCAGTTTTAGACATACATGTGGCATTGTGGAGCTCGGTAGCCACCTGGCAGTCTTTTTGTGATTGGACAGCTCTAATAGTAGCTATTTAATCAATCTCTTATTCTTTCATTTTTCCTCATTGGCCCTAATTTGTTCTTCTATATTGAAGAGAATAAGTGTCCCACCTGTATGGAGGAACTAAAGATAACAATAACAGCCAACATTTATTGGGTACACTTCTGTATTGGGCCCTAGGCTAAGCACTCTTAGCTACAGTGTTTTATGGAATCCTCCAATAGCCTTCCATGACTGGGACTGTTACTCAGTTCAGTTGTTCAGCTGTTTAAATCCACCCCTCTGCCTCTTCCCCTTCCTTTTCTAAGTTAAAATTCCCTTGTGTTTTTTAACTGTTCCTCATACTAGAGAATATATGGAACTTGCTACATCTTTTGTCACCCAGTGGGTTTCCCTTTTGAAATGTGCTGTCCAGAATCCGTCTGTCTCTGTGTCAGACGTTGTAGGATGGTACTATTACTTAGCAGAAAGCAGATGTTATATTAGTGCAGACTAGGATTAAATTCAATCTTAAAAACATTTTTATTATGGACATTTTCAAAATAGAGAACAATTAGAGTGTAATAAATCTACAGATACCTATCACCTGGTTTCGTTAAAGATCAACACATGGCCAGTCTTGTTTTATCTGAATCCCTGCGTTGGCTTATCTTAAAACATATCCCCCAGATTACAGAGAAGAAAACACATCAGTGTATAAATTATTCCTCATCACATGTATCAGGTTATATTTCTTATAAATTACTGGTCACTGTAATATTAATAATTGTCCAGTTTGGGACTACTTGCTGTGAGCTGTTTTGAGCTACTCTAGAGTAAACACTGAAGTGTTGCTGAGC